GGTCAAGGGTGTGGAATTGGACAACTGGGTGAAAAAATTGATGAACATGTTTTCAGATTTGAAAATGGAAAACTAAAAAATAGAAACAGAAAATTGGAGAACGAAAAACAGAAGTAGAAAACAAGAAAATATCTCTGTTAGTAAACAGGTCCTTAATTTCTACGATTCTTAGCTGCACCGAAAACATTTTTAAAAGTTGCTATATTATTTTATTTTGTTATACTTTCTGAATTCACAACTATTATGTTTCGGACCAAAATATATTCTATATATAAAATAAGAAAACATTAATTTCTATAATATCAATATCTCAAAAGAGTTAAGTTATATATAATCATAATTCAAATACATCACTAACAATTACAACGTGAAGCACAATCGTGCTCAATTGAAAACTTAAAAACGAAATAAACACGATCATCATATATCTTCTACAGAAACTGAAGAAATCGCTTCATAGTTTCCCCTATCACGTCTGTTTAAATTCATCTGCTTCATCACTCATCACTATATATATATATAATTCAACTTCAGCATCAGAAACTCATTCAGGGACCTACAAAACACATTTGCAATTCTGTAAGTGAACAGACTTTATTAAAAAAAGAATTGAGTTATCAACTAAACATTATGATCGCTAACCCCGCGTCATGGTAGGCTAATCTAACAGCATCATTGTACTTGCGACTAAAATAAATGGACATAAAACTAAAGTTATTAAAATGAAAAAAAACAAATAGAATCAAATCTCCTGGTTTTTCCGGCCTGCCACCAGCAAGGGAGAAGAAGTTTGATCAGCCACCTCCAAAGATGTCATTCTGATTTTATAGCCATCGAGAAGGGATAAGAGGTTTGTCATGCCACCTCCAAAGGAAGCATCTCGCTCACAAGATCTAATTGAAATCTAGGTGGTGCTAATCCAGCAGCACCGCCACAAATCCTTTTTTGATCCATTTACATCAACCTCCATACTGACTTCCAGCACTTAGACCGTTGGTAGATTCCCTAACTCGTGGCAGTTCCGGCTCACATAGCCCATCCAAGCAGTCACCACACCCAACTAGCCACAGCTAGCGGGGACATGCACACCCTATAAACGAGAGGAACAAAAATGCTGGATATATCGGGAAGACAATCTGGCTAAGATTATCACGGGTGGAATTCGTCAACCTTCTCACGATACCCTGTTGTTGCTACGATGCTATCGGCCTACGATCGCTGCTAGACCTCAGGCATTCCTCGCAGAATCCGCAAGCTGACCGTGAAGCCCTCCTGCACCAAATGAGTGCAATCGATCTCCCTTAGGCTTCGGCTCCTACTCTGCTGCAATTAGCATATATTTTGAAAACATGTTTGTATCCACAACACTTCATATTTGTTCATGACAATCTGCGCGTTATTTGCCCTGTACGGATTAAGGGGGTGTAATAATATTTTATTAATGTATTTATCATTTAACTAGGTTTTGTATATGTATATACGGAGTATATAGTAAGAATCCCGATGTATGTTGAACTCTTTTATTATAAATATACTTCCAGGGCTACCAATGCAGAAAGCCTCCATATTATTCTCGTATGTATAAATGCAATATTATATTTTCAACTCGTTTGATGACTCTTATTTTTGGCTAATCAGGTCTATTAATCAACTTCTTTTTATCAGACATTTAAATTTTTTATTTCAAACGCTGAATGTGGTAATGATCAACACAAACAGGGTTGTAATTGCTTTTTTGGATGAATTAAGTGAGGAAGTCTATTTTAATTATTTTTCATATTTTTTCTCTGCCTCATTTATAAGCTATATTAAAAAAATAGTTATCCAATAATTTAATAGAGTCATGCAATTCAATTGTTCTACATAAAATTTCATCATTTTAACAAATTTTGTGTTATCAAACTAGCCCTTGAAAATGGAATGATGATTATTAATCTTTATGAGTGATCAATCTTAAATAAATATACAGATTTTGGGCGGGTGAAGTAAATAATTAGATTTATAATCTCGTACCACCCATCCTTTTCTTCTCAAAAAATTACGCCTAACTCTGAAAGACGCCTCTACTTTTATCCCTGAGTGTTGTGACACGTGTGTGCACGTGTCCTGCTCTCCATCCACACTTTTTAAATCTCTTTTGCCGACTGCCTGATAATCCTGCCTACCGCGCAAGGAAAACGCCGCTTTTCTATCTGAAAAATTAGTTCCAAATAACACTTCTTTACTTTTCCTTTAGCTTAACCATCAAATCCGCAACCTGCTTTTGTTTTCCATGCTTTCAAATTGTGATGTGATCTCCCCATCCTAAAATCAGATCACATTATAAGAATTTCCAAAAAATATCACATTATTTATACCAGCTGTGTTTCGAAAAGGAAAAGATCAAAGAGCCATCAAGGTTAATTTGAAACATCGAATTAAACTGGTTAAGTAATTATATTCCAGTAGTTATAGAAAAGTATTTGAAACATCAAATATTTCAGCTAAAGACCATATTAACCATACATACTCTTATGGTTAGATATATCTCGTGATTAGTATTTTGATAGTATTGACGAGATTAAAATTAGATACTGAATTTTCACTTCAAATAAAACAATTATGAAATGCAGTTCAGATTGTTTGTAACAACGAATTTAAGTTGAAGATCGAGCTTTGTCTAAATAAATGACATTTGTTTGTAACCGGATATAAAAGTTCCTAGAAAACGAAATGCTAGAAAATGTGATGGTTTATTTGTTTAGGATACTAACAATGCATACATTTAAATAATACGTAGTAAATAAAAAAAGATGACTTCCTATTTTTGAGAGTTCAATCACCGATCAGATTATTAACCGAGAGGATGTACATTAAACAAATGACGAGTGGGGCTTTGACTCAAATACTTGCAGAAATCATACGCATTTCAATTACATATTAACTTCTCATCAGAGAGTTCAGGGGTTCGTGGTTCAAAGACGTACTACCTATAACATCATATCAACTAGGGCTGGGCATATCGGTTTTCGGATCGGTTTTTATTGGTTTCGGTTCAATTTGGAATGGGTTGGAAGAATTATTACCAAACAAAAATCATACTTTTTTTTCAGATTTGGTTCGGTTCGGCTCAATTTGATTCGCTTTGAATTTGTTGTTTTTAATAATATACTCCGTATGACTGTATGAATGTTTTATTGAATTTCTTTAGTTCGATTTTGTTCAGTTTCAGTTCGATATGATTTCATACGGTTTGGAAGAAATACTATCAAACTCAAATTAAATGTATATGGTCTGGTTTCGATTCGGTTTAATTCGAATTCGACTGGACACGGTTCGGTTCGGTATGTTAAATCAAACCAATATGCCCACCCCTAATATCAAGTTATCAACCACCTTAGCTATGCCGCCCGCCAGGGTGCATACATTACTCATGTAGTGGCCATGTACGTAGTTATTCGAGTACAAACATTGGTGACAGTTACATGTTTATGTTGTACTCCGTAAAATATTTGAAACCCTATATGTATAAAGCATGGACTCACTCTGATCCTGGGCCGGTTCCATCTCAGATCGGCTGATCCCGGGGGTGTGGGATGGGCCGTGAGCTGAGGTGAACCGACACCGATTTTCAATTCTGACCACAACCACTACTATTTCCTACTTCTTAAATATATGTTTAGAATCCTATCGAGCCCTTCCCTGTTACCCGAGATTGACCGAATTGAATCGCCCTGGGTCTGGTCTCCTAATTAATCGAACCGGTCGGTTGTGGTCCCAACCGGCCAATCCAGGGTGGTGGATCGGGTCAGGTCCACCTTAATAATGTTTATACATGAAATGCAAACGCAATGACGCTAGATTTTCCAGAGACATATACTCTGTACATAGTTTGAAAATGTCACATACTCAATATCAGTTCACAAATGTTAGCTATAGGTATCCCAATTTGTACCTCATTTTGTACCCAGTCCCCTTAGCTTCCTGTGTACAAAGACAACTCGTTTGAAAAGGGACAAAATTTTCTGTTAAATGCCTGTGTACACATGCAATGTACACTTGGTGTACAAATTTAGGGTATACCAAGCATGGCTCATATTAGTTAGCTCGTATTACCATGCATCCATTCATTTAAAATATACGAAGTAGTATGTATCTCAAATGAGTGAGTGTGAGCCTGTAAGGGATATGATTGAGGGCACATATGAAATTATGAATCCAATATATACATACCAACAAATTAATTAGTCATGCAATGATCTTAAGTAATTTTTAGGAAAATGTTAAAAATGCAGCTAACAGTAATTTACTATTGTGACTTCACCAGGCCATGCACCCCCTAACACGACAACACCAGCTACAAAAGATGACGGGATCATGGGAAAACGTCGAAATGGGCTCCGAAAACAACATGTTTTCGAAATGCAATTTTTTATAGATAAGTGCGTGATTTAAAAATGAAGTGCAATGTAAAATAAACGATATACTCACTACTTGTCAGACGATCGATTTTTAATAAAATAATAGTGGTCGCCTCTATATATCAAAGATCGATTGGCTAGGCACTTTTACAATGTTCAGAGTGGAGAAGATAAAAAACATGAAACATTATTTCATGCCTTTTTACACTGCTGTATTACTTATACTTCCTGTACTTACACTTTTATAAGTCAGTTATTATGTCATTTTATTAATTAAAAAAAAGAAGTGAAGAAGTAAAAAGTAAAAGAGGGCGGAAGCTAGCAAGAGAAGAATTAATTAGAGAGAAACGAGGTGGCAAGATGTGAAGGCGCCACGTAGAGGCAAATTTTGTCATCTTCCTAAACTGAGCGCTTCATGCACTTAATAAAAAAAAGCGCGGTGGGTGTTGGAAGCGCGGGACATGAGATCTCACTCGCGATGATACGTGGCGTGATCCGGCGAGAAACTTTCCGCGGGCCCCACCAAATCGGCGGCACTACTTTCTCCCTCCACCCCTATAAATAACGGCCCCTCTCTCTCCCATAAATCAATTAAAAGAAATTCAAATAGGAAATAAATTTCTCCAAGCAAAGTAAATCCCGGCGCCTCCATCCAGCTCGATCACACAAAAAAAAGACGCCGTTCACATATCAGATTAGAAGAAAGAAAAAACGGGTATGGAAGAAACCGACCCGCTTTCTCAGCTGAGCTTGCCGCCGGGGTTCCGATTCTACCCGACCGACGAGGAGCTTCTGGTTCAGTACCTGTGCAGAAAGATCGCCGGCCAAGACTTCTCCCTGCAGATCATCGGAGAAGTCGATCTGTACAAGTTTGACCCCTGGGTTCTTCCCAGTAAGTTCATTTTATTAATTACCTGCCTATTATTATCAATAATAATAAAAGTCAATGCTCTGTATCAATAATTAATTCAATTTTTAATAATTAAAATTACATCTTCAAAAACTACATTAAAATCTCTTCAAAGTTGTAAACTCCAAATTAGAATATAATTAAAAATTGACATCCTAATTAAGCGAAAAATGAAACTGTTTGACCCAGAAAAGTCAAATTTGCAAATCAATTTGGGACGGAGGTAGTATCAATTATTTATGCTCCGTAAAATTAATGTTCAGATCAATTTAATTTATGGCTCGGCTAGCTCATAATAAGGTATAAATAAATGTGAATGTGGCTGGGTACAGGCAAGGCGATTTTCGGAGAAAAAGAGTGGTACTTCTTCAGCCCGAGAGACAGAAAATACCCGAATGGATCCAGACCGAACCGGGTCGCGGGTTCCGGGTACTGGAAAGCAACCGGAACGGATAAGGTGATTTCCACCAAAGGGCGAAAAGTTGGAATCAAGAAAGCGCTGGTGTTCTACGTGGGAAAGGCACCGAAGGGAACCAAAACCAATTGGATCATGCATGAATACAGACTGTGTGATGCACCAAGGAAAGCTGGCAGTTCTCGGGTATAAATAAATACGTAGTAAATCCGTTAATAAATTTCGGCATTATTTGTCTCTTGCTCAAATTTACCCATAATTTGTCTCATCTAGAAAATTTATCCGGTGATTTGCCTCAAATTTACCCCATTATTTGTCTCATCTAAAAAATTTATCCGGTTATTTGCCTCAAATTTACTCTATTTTTTGGTTTATCAAATTTTTAATCGAAGATTTTTGCTTTCGTGCGTAGAACTGCTTAATAATAATCAAGCAAAAGTAAGGTCAATTAATTTTCTGACCATATTGACTGAAATTATTGTAGATGACCATTTTAGTTATTTTTTATATAATCTTTAATTTATTTTTTTCAATAAAATATATTTTAAATATTATTTTTTCATACATTTCAGTTGTATTAACCGATTTGCGGATTTCAATAAAAAAATATTGGTATGGTTTTTTAAAAGATTTTAATAAATTGTGTCAAGACTAAAATTTTGAAATGCTAGTATGATTTTAAACTAAGTGTATCAAAATTGATAGTATGTTTTCGTTTTCAGTCCCAGATCAGATCGCACCAGACTAGACCAAACTTCCATAGTTATAAAATACACAGAAATCGGACCAGAGCAGTTACCACAATATCAATATAGAGCAGAATATGATTGAATGGAGCTCTTTGTGTTTCAATTATTTCGTCAGCTTATGGTTTATAATTAAGATGGTTACGTTAATGTTATTATTAAATCTTAATATCTGAAATTTGCAGCTGGATGATTGGGTACTCTGCCGGATATACAAGAAAATGACGAGCGCAGAGAAGGCGGCGATGGGGCCGGGCGGGCAGAGCAAAGAACAGAGCCACGCGTCGTCGTCGTCATCGTCGTCGCAGCTGGACGACATGCTGGAGTCGTTGCCGGAGATCGACGACCGCTTCTTCGCTCTGCCGAGGACGAACTCGCTGCTGATCAAACAAGAAGAGAAGCTGATGAATCTGCAAGAACTGGGAGCAGGGAACTTCGACTGGGCTTGCGGCTTTAACCCGTTGCCGGATTTGGGCAACGGGAATCAGCAGCCGGTGGTTTTCGGGAACGACGTGAACTATGCTGCAAATGACGTGTACGGCCAGGCCGTGGCAGCTATGAACTTTCAGGCGGCGGGAGATGATGAGGTGCAGAGTGCGATCAAAAGTCTACGGGCGGAGAACTCGCCCGGTTTCTTCCAACCAGCTGCAAGGTTTTCGAGCGCACCCGACCCGTTTGGAATCCGGTACCCCAACCAGATGACTGGGATGGGGTTCAGGCAGTGAATAAGGATCGTGGCTGTGACTAAATTTTGGAATATGATCGATCGAGCAGAGAGGTGCATGGGTTAACGCCGCCTATAGCTGACGCCTGGCCGGCCGGGAAATATATATATAAATATATTAGGAATACCGTATAAATGATGAATATTATACTCCGTATAATTAAGATTAAATGCATGTGTACGTAGGTCTCAAGGTTTTAATTTAAAAGCATTTTGTTGTTAATTAATTTTTCTTGTAGAATGCAGGAGAGATCAGAGTTACCGTCCGAGCAGTAGTGTCCTTGATGATGTTCTTTATAATTATGAGTGCTTGATTTCGGTTAGAAACCAACTTGAGTTTCAACTTGGGATGACCCTAACCACGATTAAAACATGCTAAAAGTGTAAAAGTGAGACTTCATTGTTGCATACAAGTAAAAATATTTCAGTAGACAAATGAATCGAATTTTAAATCCGAAAGTAGTGTAGTTACACTGCTCTGATCTGTTTAACGTGAAGACGCGCTATTTAAGAAAAAGTAGCACTCCTTAACACACAACGTTAGAAAAAGTGGGAAAAATGTCAAGGCGAGAGATGACTGTAAAAAACTAAAAACTATCCTTTACATGACATAGTTATTGAGTGTCAAGAAAAATCATTGAGTGTCAAGGAAGCTTTAACATGACATAGTTATTGAGTGTCAAGAAAAATCATGTTCAATAAATTTAATAGATAATAATACGCTAATTAATAACAATTGTTTCTATTTTCTTATAATGTTCTGTAATAACAATGTAGCTAGGGTATTAGAGATTATTTTCATATTGAAACTTTCAAATTGAAATAAGTTTTTAGTATATCATTCAAATGAATCTAAAAGACTACTACTCCCTCCGTCCCGCTATGATTGTCTCATTTTACCTTCTCGGTCCATCCTACTAAGATTGTCTCATACCTTATTTGGTAAAATTTGTGTGGTTCTAAATCATTCTTACTTTATTCTTACTTTATCAATTCAATATCAACCACATAAACCCACTTTTATTAATAAGCGTGCCACCTTCTCTTGTCCCAAACTTAGAGGGGCGGAGGTAGTATAAATTAAGTTCACAAGACTAGATTGTTTATTTTATACAAATTGAAATAACTTGTTCAGTCAAGATGAACCATGTACTAAATCTCTAATTAGCTCCTTTGGATTGATGACTTCCAGTTGATGGTCGATCATGTGGTCGAAGAAAGTTCACCAATAACCTGAAAATAGCACCACTGAAAATTAAATAAAGTTCATCTCATGATCAGTAAATACATTGTAATCCACCCACACATTACATTAATGAAATTAATTTATTACCTACATTCAATGTCTAAATTTATGCATAGACATTGGTTAACAACCACCTTATAATTTCTCAAAGCTACATGCATTGATTAAGGGTCATGATGCATATTATCATTTTTTTAAACCAGCTATTCAAAAATCTGTTAGGAATAGAATGAAGTTACTTGCAATTAAAAAAAACTATTAAAATTCATAACTGTTGGGAGTTTAAAGAACAATGGATCGGAGCAATTGACTTCTCTATTAACTGATAAGTATATTTCCAATAAAACTAAATAATAAAAGATTCAGAATTTATATTTCCAGTCAAACTAAATCATATCAAATCAAACATTGTAAACTACTTAAAGAAACAACAAATATATGGTTCATTAGAAAAACGCTCCTTTTGCTGGAGCGATGCAATATGAAGGAATCCAATTCCTCTTGGTACGAAACTTGAAGAAAGATCTGAAAACGTAAATGAAAACTAAAATGAATCAGATTTATCTATCAAATGAGATATAGGCTGCCAAGCATAAAAATACGACAATGTATAATATATGCTATGTTCTGTAATAAGTGAAAATTTAGTTTTACTTCAATGGCATGGTTAGGTGACAATACTTCATCCCCCCTACTCTCCCTCCCCCAATGCAAAAAATACAAATATTTGTATTACGTAACATATTAATGGTGGAGCAGAGTTTTAATTCCAAAAAATGTAAGTGAAAAGCACTTCCATAGCCAAAACTTATAACTACCTAAATTGATGGAGTAGTCAAATCCAAAGTGTAAAGTAATATATTATATATTACTGTAAAAAACTGTATGTTTAGCTACATGAATTGATGGAGTAGTCAAACTAAGGCTATGTTTGGTACAATTAGCTGAAAAGATCTTTTTGTGAGCTTTTTAGTAACTATTAGCTTTTAATGACTGAAAAGATCTTAAAAGTAAAAGGTGGTAGCTGTTTGGTAAAAAGTTGACTGTTTGATTTAGTTCTGTTTGGCATACAAGCTGTTAGGATTTATTAAATCTAAAAGTCACAGACTTTTCTCAGATGCTACTACCTGTAGCATCTCAAAAAAGAGCTTTTATTTTTTGAAAAGTTCTTAAAAATTGGCGTGCCTAACAAACAACTAACAACTTTTAGAGACTTTTTAAATAGTACGTACAAAAGCCAAAAGCCAAAAGCTATAGACTTATGTCAGCCAAACATAGCCTAAAAGTGAACATTGAGATCTTGTAGGTGAATGTAAGAATCCGCAAGTTTTATTGACGACCCTACTCTAAAAATTGAGATCTTATAGATTGCCCTAAAATGTGAGCAGGAATATTGTTAGGTAAAATGAAAATTATTTGAAGCATATATATATACACACACACACATGTGATATGAGTAATAAGATTGAAAGAAAAAGAAAACAATTTGAAATTAAATGAGAAATGATGAATTTACCTTCTCACTCGCTTCTGGTTTCCATGGTTCAAATTGAATTTCCCCATATCAATTTTGAAGAACTAATCGAGGAAAGTCACAATAAATAATAATTAAGACAAATTGAAAGAGAAGAAATAGAATATAATCAAATAAGGAATGATTAATTGACCTTCTAGATGATATGGCACCCGTTGCCTTCCATAATTGAAGTCTGGAAAAAGAAACATGAAACAAAATAATTAATGTAAAATCGAATAATGGATGATCAAACAACCTACATCGCTCTAGCTGGCTTTCATAGTTCATATTGAAGGTTTGTTGGGAGCTTCTTTTCTCTATATTAAGTGGCTCAGTCCTTGCTGGGGTTAGGAGATGCTCAATGTGAAGCTTGGTGCACAAAAAGAGGTCTGACTAAATTAGACAACCCATTTTAGTAAATGTTTACTAAAAATGCAGAAGATTCCATTACAAGTCATCAGTCATGCAAGTCATATATATCCTAAACCTTGGTCGTAAAAATTTAAAACCCTCGCCATCTCCTGCCTTAAAACCCATTGAAAGAAGCTCTAGAGGAAATCAAAGGAGAAAAACTTTAATTTTCAAGAATTCCAACCTTCTTCCTACAGCTGTATTTGGTAATTATTAAAAGATATTGTCCACAGAACAATAGCAAAATTAAAATTAGAGTAGCGTAAGACTCCTTACTTTGCAAGGTTAATTAGTTCCCAGTGGGGGGCGGGTGAAGTTGTTAATCAGATGAGCAATATTGGTTGTGCCACTTGAATATGTGATCTTGAAGTCTATGATCATTATGTGAAACAAATCAATATATTTATTAATCAAGACCCCCATAAAAAGGCATGGAGAAAAAAGGGTAAATTGGAAATGTACCTTTCTAAAAAGAACAATGGAGAATAACCCGAGAAAGCTAATAACAAAGAGAACCCAATCATCCAAGCACCTAAGTCAAAGATAAAATGGATTTTAAATCAGATAAATATACATAATTCTATTCAAAGAATACTCCCTACCTCCTTTACATTTTTAGCCATCATATATCTTCAACTCTGTTCAGAAAATCCATGAATAGACTAGTAAGTTCTAGGCTTCTACTTGGAAGCATCTTTGTGTGTTTGGGTGTTTTTAAAATTTACACTAGGTAATAAGCCTCGCCTAGACACTATGCCCCATCTGCCTCCCACCTATTTATGTTTGAACTGATCGTCATCCCTCAAGTCTATAACAATCACTACTCTAGATCATGTATGGATACCTTATGGTTTAAGTGCATTGATATAAAATGATTTCTCAGTTAACCATTAAAATTATTTTTCTAATTTAATAAGCACTTGATAAGGCATCTTGAACACATTGTTACTCCTCTTTGGTTGATCTTTCGTGATGGAAAGAACAAGGAAGCTGTCAAGCATAAATATGACACGGTGTAAAGTATCACTCTGTCAATATCTTTCTGAGCTGAAAGTAGAAGAATTACATATGCTGGAGTTGGATCATGTAAGGAAACAGAATAAATAACTAGAATACGATAACAAAAAAAAATTCTATTCAAATATACATATTGTTGAGGTTTATTCCTTCAACCCTTGGGTCCAACACGTAAGCCCAAGAGTTTCGAGTGGAGTGTGTATATGAATGAACTAGCCCAACAACAAATAAGATGGATCAAGAAACAATATGTAGCAAGTAAGAGATTAGGTATTATTAATCTGTTAATAACTCCCCAATACAATACGCTTGCTAAGGCTCGTCGGCCGTTCGTCCTACAAGGCAGTAGAAGAGCTGCGAGTAAGAGAATTATAGCTAGAGTGCTCAGAATAGTAAGTTGTCAACCCTTTACAATGAAATAAATGCTGCTATTTATACTACCAATGGGCAGTTGGCTATGGTGACGTGGAGGCATGTGTGTGGCTGGCGTCCCAACCACTAAATCTCCGGCATTAAATGCGCTTCCCGCCAGAATTTGGGTTTCCCACCTAGTTTGTGGAGACGTACGTCCAGTCTGGATAAGGGGGTCTGCTCCTGGTGCTACTTGATATTGCAAAGGGTAATGGGCCGCTTGTATCCTGTCCCTTAAAGGATTTGTCACATGGATTGGACTGGCCCCAATCGTTAGTTGCTCCCGGGAGCGACGTTCGTCGCAGTTGAGTTTGTCTGTGGACTCGATCCACTTGTCCCTGTACGGACGTTAGTCTGGTTGGACCGCCTCATTAGATAGACGTTCGTCTGGATTGGGGGATGATGGGCCGGACCCTTATTTGGGCCATTAACCCAACACATATCATTTCATCATATCTAAAAAAAAGATTCAACTTTTCCTTAAGATTAATATCATATTGCATCCGTATGAAATATGTTGTTAAACCACTTAGTTTTCCCTACTCAGCATGATATTAGCTACAAGTAAAAATCAACTATAGGCACCAAATAGTCCAAATGAAAACCTTATTTGAGAAACTAACTAGTCCAAATGAAAAATAGATTAACAATTTCTTAATTTACAATAAATCATAAAATGGTTCAACTTTAAAGTAATCAAATACACAAATTTGCTACTGAAATATCTAGATATCTGGTGTGGTAGTGATGGTTTAGATGATGATGTTCCAACAAACTTAATAAAATGCCTAAAAAAGAATTGCATTAATCCTAATTGAGATGACC